CATTCACTGTATATTAGTTATTCAGAATTAACGAGGGCCCGAAATAAGGCTTCTACAATGATAAAAGATGACTACCTGTAGTTCGTCTGTGCCATCTTTAAAAGTTTGCAGCCTATCCCGAACCTCCTGAAATCTGAGGTCTCTGGCTAGGGCTGGATCTTCCAAGACAGACGCCTCGACGAACACTACCATCCGTTTTTCCTAGAAAAGTATTCAGACAATCAATTTTTTGAACTTCAAACTTGTAGATAGAGAAGACTTGTAGATAAAAGGAAGATCGTAAATAGAACGTACAGCTTCTTGAAGAAATCATACATATTACAAAGTCGTGTGTATGGACTAGTTATAGATAACTGTATAAAAAGAAAAAAGAAAAAAGAAAAAAAACTGTGGTATCACGTGATTCGAATCGATAGACCAAGGAACGAGTGCAGTGTCTTCGCGAGGAAGCTAGCCTGACTATGATTACGCGAGTGAAAGTATAATAGCGTTTAAATAATATATGCGCACGCTCGAACATAGTTTCCTTCCCTTTTCCAAGCCGATCTTGCCTTGTCACAATGACTTGGACAATTCTGATGATCGCTTTGGTAGAAAAAACGAGGGTTTCGCATAAATTATTATATAAAAGATGTGAGGAATGAATGAAAAAAATAATACTTACTTCTATCAGCCATGTAACTAATTGTACAAACGGTGGTAAAACCGAATTATCGCGGACCTTCTTGATGACTAGAACAGTGAGTGGTGGCTTGTACCACGTCAACCTCTGTGAGGCTGGATCTTGAATGGTCCTAGGATAAAATAAACGAATTCGTTAGTCGAATTGTCATCAATTGCGACGATGAGATATTTCTCTAGAAAAAAAAAGATCAAATAATGAAATGGATGTTTACTAAAGTAATTAATTAAAATTTCTTTTGTTCTATCTAATATCTAATTTAAATATCTGAAAGTAAATTTTAATCTAAATATCTAATAATAGACTTTCATAGAGAGAAATTTTTAAATATTTAAATATCTAATTTCTATCATATAGGATTTTACTCTTGATGCTCATTATCGATATCGATGAAACGGTCGATTGACAGAATTTTCTATATTCAAGGATGAACTGCATTTTTATACTCAATACATACGATTAATCTATGGGAACACATTGCCTTTGTTTTAAATTAAGATAAAAATCAATTGAAGTCTATTATATATTAATTTACCAAAAAAAAAAAAAGAAAAAAGTACCAAACGTGCTTGATTTTACACCAAGCCAATCGATTGCGAAACTATCATTGAATTAGAAGCTCAAAGATGTGACTACGCGTATTTCATATCTAAACGCGGTCACCGTCTTAATTATCAAAATCTTTCGACAAAATCTTCGGCACGACCGGAAGTAATTTGGAAAAAAAATTACTTCGAAATTTGTTCGAAAAGTCACTGCTTGACAGAAAATATATAACTCGTAAATATGTGGGCTAAAGTTTCATTTTCAGCACGTTTGTTCCTCTCTGAATGTCAATTGAATTGTTGCTGTGTAATATGTAATCACCACACACTAGATACGAGTCGAAAAATCTCACTGATAAAGTGACCGCGATAGAAAACCGATAACTATGCCTCGATGAGCACGAGTGAAGCTACATAGAATAACATAGTTAATTCTTCGTTTGTCGTTGAAGGAAGGAAATTTGTTATTTGGTTCCCTACCTGATGGTTCCAACCATGGTGTGAACAGTTTGAGAGTCGCACTCGTACTGAAGCAGAACCGAACAGGGCACTACGCTTTTAAACGGTAAACAATTGGACGACGCGCAAGCGCACGAGAGCTTTCATATACACGCGATTGTATCGTGACGCATATTTATGTGCATAATTCGTAAAATGACACGAATAATTGATTCACGTGCAATGGTACTGCACCCTTGTTGACTTAATTACACTACCACGAGAGAATTTAAATTTCAGAAGCTAATACAGGTTAATGGCTCAAATTTATGACATCAAAGTCACAATTAACATATCTGGACTTCGATCACATTTATTTAAATGCAAAGTGCATGCATTTTCAAGCAAAAACAAGCAATGTCTCTGAAAGCAGAAATTATCGCTATTTCAATTGTTATCCTTTACTTTTTCAAAGATGTATTAGGTAACACACCTCTTCACCTCACATTTCTTTAAAACTAAGAAACACACTTTTCGCGACTGGGTCTGTGATCTGTTCCTTTGAAAATTGCAACGACCTCTTGGTGCACGATATTTTCCTTCTCGTCATTTTATTGAACTTTCGGTATTTTCAAGAAATTTTTTATTAACTTTGAGTATTCAAGAAATCTTGTCGTCTAATTAATGTTCAAAGTTCAGTAAAATCGATGAGAAAGTATCGTACAGCAAATTTTAAGAGGTCCCCGTAAAGTAGAAGATCTTAATCTTCATGTTTTTCAACACCATGGTTTCGTGGTCTAATCATAAAAGAAATTTTTTTTTTTTTTACCGTTTTAAAATTTTTATAATTCAAGAAAATTTTTTAAAACATCTTCGAAAAAAACAAACTCAGGACTGTTAAAGTAGAGGTTTTACACTTTAAAATGAAATAAAATGAATTCTTCTTTGCTAAGTTATAACTGCGTTATTTACGTATTTATGGAAAATTGGGAATTGCAAAAGTGTATATTCCGTGCTCATAACATATGAAAATACTTATATAAAATGTCCAAAATAAAATTTATTCTAATATATATACAAAACGAATTTTTTTAGTTCCATTTTTTCAGCCATTTACAAAAATTGTAAAATACATAAAATCCTCATTGTCGACAATTTTTCATACTCTTCACAGTATAACCAAATATTATTAAGAATTTATTTTATAAATGTATAAATTCATTAATATTTATTCATTTATACAAAACGAAATTAGTTGGAAAATTTCGTCACGTCGGTTCTTGATGCAGTATTTGCACGTAATATGCAAATGAAATTTAGAATCGTTTCATCGATCATTTTTGAACATTCAATTTGCAATTCTTTTCTAAATACGCGATTCTTACGTCGATTTACGCACGCATAATCTCATGCTAAGACGAATCATTCTCTTTCTCGTACACACGTCCAACTGAGTATCTGCTGAGTAATCATTCGAATGCACATCGAAGCGCTTAATTACGATTAATGAAAGTTTACGAAGCTACTTCAATTGTACACAAAATTTATATGCACGAAATACATTCGTAGTCGAGCGAAAGCATCGTTACGCGACGTGATTGTGGCAATTGTTAACGAACAGATCTGAATATGTCCATTTGGTTCACAACTTGCACGTCGACAATGTTTCCACGAGCTTATAGAACCGCTTTCTAATTCACGCCGGCAAAACAGCGTTTAGATTCACTTAAGAAGTCATTGTCACGGATAATTGGGTCAAGATACTCGCGTGCAGCGTAGTTTTTACTCGACACGCTCTCTTTTGCTTCGTAGGCTTGCCATCCAATTAACCGAAACAAAAAAAAAAAAAAAAAAAAAAAAAAAAGAAACAAAAAGAAGATAGAGAGCTGAATGGCACTTGGTAAGTTGACGTGATTTTTTAAACTTCCGATTAATATTCGGACGATTTGATAAACGATCGCCTCTTACTTTGCATTTCGACAATTTTCAAGATAAAATCGGAAAGATAATCGGTTCTCTACTTAAAAAAAATTATCCAGTTATTTATTTAGTTTATTTTATCGGAGAATAATTTCGTCAGTGATTAGATATTAGCGAGGCAAGGGATTTCTGTTGCGTCGTGTCAGTGTTCAATGTTGGATAGAGTGTAATTGAAAATCCTTTGTTTAATTGACGAGCAATTTTCCAAAGCGCCGACAGAACATGTGGAATTAAAATCTTTTAGAACCTTTCAAGCGAAGAATTTCAAGAATTTCAACTACTAATACGTAGTTAGAATGAAAGTTGTTAAGAGTAGAAAATCCGCTTAATTGTAAGCCTAGTTTATACCGTTTCCTGTTACTTTTGAGTTGAACATTTCCATGTGTAATATTTCATTTTATTTGCTTATAATTAGAGAAACTTCTAATTTTCAAAGTCTAATTTTCCTCGACTTATGACAATAGATAACGATGTCTCGAGACTTTATGGTAGTATTTTCATTTCGAATATAAATCCTTGTAAAGACATTCAAAATGAGTACACGAAAGAAAGTGGTAAAATTGACATTTTCCCTTTTCTTCTGGCGGAACAAAGATTGATTTCATTAATTCAAGTTCACTATCATGATGACCGACGTTACAAAAACTGATAGACAAGATGTATATATAAAATAAGACAAATGCATATAAAACACGAATGGCGATTAATTTATTTCACTGAAATTGAAACTTATTTTATCAAATACAAATTACTTTAAATGTAAATGTTCTACTATTTCTCTCAAATTGTTGCTCTGTGTCTTTGCAAAAGACATGTACTTGTTTATTTCTGTTGTTAAATTTATGCCTTCAGTAATTTTTCTTATAATCTTTCTTAAAATCAAAAATATTCCGTGACCGTAAGAATCACTGTTTTATGGTTACAAGTGGCAAATATCATTACCGAACCGAGGATGATACATATCAGTACAGTGCAGGTAAAACTTGAGGAGATAACAATTTTCGGACATTACCTATCTGTACCCGAGTCAATATATCAAGTGCACAAATCTTTTCAACTACATTTGAAATCAGTAAAATATAGGATATTTCAAGTTTGCAACGATATCCGTTTCAAGATTGAACAATTTCTTATTGGTCTCGTTTATTCTCTTTTTTCACAGACAAGATAGATGAGGATGAAATTTCGAGGCTCTTCGACAGATTAGAAACAATCGACTCACATTCCTCGATCTCATCTAGAATAGTCAAACACATCGTTTTCGTAGGATTCATTCAAAGTTTCAAATAATCCATTAAGCTTGAAGATTCAGAAGAAAACAGAGATAGCATCGTAACATTGCTAATATTGTTACGCTGTAACAAGGATGGTGCATTTACGACAGAATAATGAAGAAAATCGTTTTTGTTCGAAGATTTTTGTATATTGTCGACAATGATAAATTGCACGTGACTACTATTAGCATGTTTCAACGTCTGTAGGGGACTTTAGAATTTCTCAATAGCAATTTACTGTCATGAAAGCAGTTCCTTGGCAGGTAGCAACCAAGATGTCCTATAAGTGTGGGAAAAACTGCGGTGTTGCCGAATTTGCTAACATTTTCATGTCTTTCGCAGGTAATAATATTTCCTTTGCGAAAAGGACGAGTTTACTGTGCTGCAGAAACATAATCTCGATTTTTCTGTTTCAAAATTACACGATTTGCTCAAAAATTTGTAGCACGTTAATATTTCCAAACAAATAATGATTACTACGAATAATTAAACATTTAAATCTTAATGCAATTATATTTAAGAAATCGAAGTTATAATTATAACATATTTCTCAGAAAAATATACGAGGAAGTTTGTTTTTTATTTATAACGTAAAGAATGCCAATCTTTCGAGTATGAGTGTATTGTATTGCTTATGAAGTTCCCTAATATTTTCGAAATGTGTAGATATACAAATGTCATAAAATATATGGAAGAATTTTTATTTTTCAAAGTTGCAGTGAGGAGCACATGACTGAACACATAACGATGAAAAATTGTCGATACTTCAGACAATATAATTCCGTGAAAAAAAAGGAAGAAAAAATTATATAACTTTACTTCTTATTTTGAAGCGTAAAGCTTTTGCTCTGACAGTCCTTCGTTTTTTTCAAAGA